GGATTAAACTTGAAAGTACTTGCTAAACAAAAGAAACCAAACATAAAAACCCCACATATAGGGGCTGGTGTTGTAGCTCAGTGGAAGAGTGCCTGCCCAGCATGTGTGAGGCACTGGGTTTGATTCTCAGCAGTACCACATTAAAATAAATAAAGTAAAAGTATCCTGTCTATCTACAACAACAAAATTTTAAAAACTCACATATTGTATGATTCTTCTTAAAATGAAATGCTCAGTACTGGTAAATCCTTAGATAGAAAGTAGAAGAGTAGTTGGCAGGAGTTAGAGAGAAGAGGTATAGAATGAGTACTTAAATGGATATGAGGTTCCTTTCTGTTTTGTTGAAGATGTTCTGGAATTGGATAGTGGTGATGGTTGCACAATATTGTTAGTATATTGGAAGTCACTGAATTGTACACTTCAAAATTGCTAAAATGCTAAATTTTGTTTTATGAATTTAACCTCAATTAAAAAAAAATCTATGAGATACCAGTTCACACCTTGTGTGTGATAAAGATGTGCAATAGGTAGGACTCTCATACACTGCTGCTAGAGGAAGAGTTAAAAAATTCAGTAGTTTCTCATACAATGAAATAATCAGTTATTATCTGATCTAGCAATCCAAGAGAAATAAAAGTGTGTCCCATGCCCCACACAAAAAAAGAACACTTGTATACAATGTTCATAGCAGGATTATTCACAGCAGGATTATTCCTAACAGCCCCAAATAGAGACTAAATATGCATCGATAGGTAAATAGATAATCAAACTCCTACTTACACACAATGGAACACTAGTCAGCAATAAAAAAGAAGAAACTGAGACATATAACATCAATGAATCACAAAAATAATTAAATACTATATAATGAAAAATAATTAACCTAAAGAATACAAATTCTATCATTCATAATAAAGCTGAAACAATTGTTTCAGGCACAATTGTTCTATAATAATAGAAATCAGAAGAGTGCTTATTTCTGGTTGAAAAGAGGAGACTGGAAAGAGGAATGAAGTATTCTCAGATGAACAAATATTCTACATTTTGAGGAACTGCCAAACTATTTTCCATATGGCTGCACCACTTTCCCACTGGAGTGATGATAGTAGATACTTGTTAGAATTTATCAATATGTATGCTTAAAATGAGTGCACTTTCTACATGCTGATTAATATCACTGGAAAAATTTTAACTTTATATGAACATCTATGGGTCTTATATTAGTTTATGGATTTGCACCCAAATCACTGACGTTGCACACTGTTGCTAAAAAAATACAGAAGGAATGCAGGAAGTAGGGTAGGTAAACTGTTTTATGGTCATGGTCAAATGTGTTTAGTGCTTTCCTAAAGGAATTTATAACAGTTCAGGATGTAAGATACAGTCTTTGAAATAGTTAATTATCTATAACAGCTGTTACAGCAGCCTCTGAATTTTTGTCTCAGGAAAATCTACTTCTAAATTCTGAATCCTCTTGTCTTGCTTATTCCCCGTTTTTGTTCCTTCACTTAGGTTATATTTAAGTATTTGATAAGGTCAAATTTACCGTTTCCCAGTCCACCTTCACCTAAAACAGAATTCAGTACTATGACCATTAACCAATTTTATCCTTTTATATGCTTAGTCTAAAAAACTAAGAACTTAATCTTGAAGAATTTATGTCCTCCATTTACCAGTGTAGTGAGACTATAAAATATTTTTTAAAATAATAAAAATGGGAACAGAAAACATTTCAGAAGTAACACCAATAATTGGCAAATGAATCAAACAGGAATGACTATTGATGGCCCCAAATGAACAGGATATAAAGGTTGATACTAAGCTAGGTTTGCTATAGATAGGAAAGAGAATAACTATTACCCAAGAGAAGAGACTTAACAAAAGAAAAGAGGACAGTGATACATATTGCAGAACTAATTTGTCTAAGACTCTACAATGTAAAGTTTATATTTGGATATGTGTGACATGATATGAGAAAGCAGATTAGTTCTCATTTGATAATCACAAAAAGTTATAGACTGACCTTCATTTACATGTGAGGAAATTCTAAAGTATTTTGTCCAAGGTCATGAAACTACTTAAAGTACTGAAAGAAATTCATTTCTCTTGATTCATAGCCAAATGTTCATTTAATTAGATGATTCTGTTTAATATTCTTTAATTTTTCCTCAATAGAACTCTTTAACCAGCCAGGTGTGGTGGTGCATGCCTATAATCCCAGCTACTTTGGAGACTATCACAGAAAATTGATACTAAATTTGAGGTCAGCCTGCGCAATTTAGGGAAACCCTATTTCAAAATGTTAAAAAGGGCTTGGGGTGTAGAGCAGTTGCCTAGCATATGCAAGGCCCTGGGCTTAATCCCCAACCCCTTCTATCCCCCACCACACATAACTCTTTAAGCAAGCTTCTCACCACAAATAAACCTGCCCCATTCCTCTCTTCTTGAATGTAAACCCTTCATCTGAAGGGTTCTTTTTCTAGCCCATTTTGAAGTTCTACTTTAACACAAACCTCATGCTTTTAGCAACAGACTTCATTATTGAGATGATGGGTAAGGAAATTTCTTTTTTTTTTTTTCTTTCTTTTAGAGAGAGAGAGAGAATTTCACTATTTATTTTTTTAGTTTTCGGCAGACACAACATTTCTGTTTTGTATGTGGTGCTGAGGATCGAACCCGGGCCGCACGCATGCCAGGCGAGCGCGCTACCTCCTGAGCCACATCCCCAGCCCCAGGAAATTTCTATCTTCACTGATTATAGGTATATGACTAAATCCTTCCTGTGGCTACTAAAAGATTTGGGTTCCAATAATAACATTTTTAAGAACCTTGGATGATATATTGGGAAACTATCCAATAAGGCAGATTTTCTGCTTATTCAGGGCTTAGAATTATCATTGTGATGCAGTTAAGGGTCCAGTAATGAGTGACTCTACAGCACAGGCTGCAACTTTTACTGTCCTGCTTCACTTAATAAGAAACATGACTTTTCTTTCATTAGAAAGAACATAAATGAACTGTCATTATTAATTTTCTTTAGTAGAAACACACTTAAAACTTTCCCATATCTTTTAAACTTTCCAAAGACCCAAACTTCTTTTCTTATCACCACATTTTCCCACACTGACAAATTTCTTGACAGTATAATCAAACTGTCTCAACTTCAAATTTATCATTTTTATCTAGTATTTGCCTTTATCACATGCTCATATTCTCATTAAATAAACCAGTGATATTTCCCATACTAAAATCAAAGGCCTATTTTTCAAGTGTTAGCCTTTTTGAATTTGAGGGTGGAAGAGTTGGTGCAAAGTTCACCAGAATGACTGAGCTTTTACTCTATGCAAGGCACTGTAGTGATTAAACTTTCAAAAATGTTGCACTTAATGCTCCCAACAGCTCTCACAAGTATTACCTAATTTTCACAGATTAAATTTGAGGCTTAAAATTATCGATATCCAAATAGCTTAGCAAAACCCAAACAATCTCAATATTTGTAACTATGACTTTTGACTGAGTTAAGTTTTGTTCCCAGTTCTCTTCCCAACTCTGAGGCCTTTTCTCCCTTTTTATCATCCTCTGCACATCATTACTTGCTTTATTTATGTGCCCTATTGGGCAATTTCATTTCCTTCTATGGCTTTAACTGTATTCTCTGTTAGTGTTCCTGGAACTTTTAAATCTTTCTTACAGACAAAATCTTGATGCTCTTTTTGTACTTTGTTTTGAAAATACATGATCTTTTTCTCAGAAATTATAATAAATATCCCCAACAAACTTTAATAAAGTTTCACCATTGTAGCTCCAGGTCCTTCAACCTAAACCTGTCCAAAACAAAATTCACATTTCTCCTTAGCAAACTTATCCATCTCGGTGTTCACCATTTTGGTTAACAGTGTCACAATCCATCTTTGTGTTTCAAGAAACCTTTTTGCAAAACGGTTACATTGACATTCTCTTCCTTCCCTGAGCTGAGATCAAAAATCAGTCACTATACAATTCCTAAAATTTTTAGGTATTTTCCCACTTATAAAACATTTCACAAACATTTAAATTTAATCTTTACGATATTCACATCACCATCCCCATTTTACAGATTAAAAAACTGAGACTTCATTTTCCACTCTTTTTTATTGTTCAAATAAACTTACACACACACAAAAAGGAAATTGCTCTGTACTGAACTAAAGTCAACAGATCATCGCACACAGCCAAACACCAAAGTGCACCGATCGTCCTGAACGCCTTCTGGGGCTGTCCACTTAGTGAGGGCGACCGACCTGGCCCCCGGCGCCCTCCGGCAGCCCTCGCCCCAGGAAGTCCCTGTGAGGCCAGCCTGCACCCGGCGGGGTCTGCGGGAAAACCTCGCTCTGCGGCTTGGAGTGCGCCTAGCGAGGGCTGTCACCGCTCAGCTCTGGCCAGCTCTGAGGCTGAGTGCAGGCTGGGCCGCAGTCACCGCGCCTCCAGCCTCGCGGATCGCCGACCTGCGGAAAAGGAGCGTACCTGGTGGAGAGGCGGCTGGAGGGTCAGCGGGCCCAGCAGACCTAGAAGGGGAGAAGGAGCCTGGCGGCAGCCTGGCCGACCTCGACCGCTGCCAACTGCATCCACTACTCTCGGTCAACACCGAGCCACATTGATTCTTCAGATTATGCGGGACCCAGAAACCAAAGGCGGAGAGAGCCGGGGTTTGAAGCCAAAAGGGCATCGCGGTGGGGGAGGGGCGAAGGCGGAGACACGGTCTGGGGGCGGGGCGCAAAGGGGCGGGGCCACGTCACCAGGAGGCCGGCGCGAGGGAGCCAGGCGCTCCTCGGGAGGGAGAGCGACACCAGGAGGCGGGCACAAGAGGGCTGGGTGCGCATCACGAAGTGGCGGCCACTAGGGGGCAGCCACGAGGACACAGCGCGTCGCCAGGAGGCGGGCGCGAAAGGGGCGGGCACGTGGAGCGAGCGCGAGGCGGGGCGCGGCGCGAGAGGGCGGGGCGCGCGTATCGTCGCCGCGGCCGCGTGACGCGTTTTCAAATCTTCAACCGCCGCAGCCCACTCGTTTGTGCTTTTTCCCTTTCCTCCTCCGCGCCTTGGAGCCGGACCCGTCCCCGGAAACTCGGCCTGCGGACCCGGCACCTTTGCTGCGTGGAAACCTCGGCGGACGAAAGGAAAGAGCGGGCCGTCCTGTCAACCGGGCCGGAGAAGCCTTGTTTTCGCGGCCGTCTGACGCCGCACCCGGGCCGGACCCAGCATGTAGGTGCCGGGCGGCTGCCATGAACTCCGGAGCCATGAGGATCCACAGCAAAGGACATTTCCAGGGTACGTAGCCCCTCCTCCGCCTGCTGTCCCTTTAATCTTCCTCCTCCCATGGTTCCACCATTGATCTTCAAGAGTTCTCCCGCCAGGTCCGCTGCTGCTTTGCTTTCCTGCCTGTCCTTCTCTGACCTGGAGGAAGGCTCATTCAGGGTTTTGCCTCAGAAAGGGAACGGTTTCCACGGGTCCTCGCGCTCTCCTGTCCCCGTCGCGGCCCCACATTCCCGGTGCGCGGGTGGGTGAAAACCTGCAGCGTGCGGACCCGGGAACCTGCCGGGTCTCGCGGGGCCTTCAGTTTAAAGGCCGATGTGTTTGTGCCTTTTCTCTTCCTCATTAGATTGTATGATTCTGGTTGGGTTTCTTGTCTTTAAATCATAGTTAAGGGACACTATTTGTATTTCAAACACACCCATTGTTGGTTGCAACTTAATAGTGAGACAAAAGCAAATTTCCATTTTATTCATTTTATTTGGCAAAAGCACTTAAGCATCTGAAGTCATTCCTATATGTGAGTATGTAGTAACCACCAAGAAATAGATTCCAAAAATTTAAAGCAGTTGCTTGCATCTGAGATGTTTTCAAAAATAATGGAATGAATGGTGATGTAGTTCTAAATGGACCATTAAGTTCTTTTTTTTTTAATTTGTTTTAATTAGTTACACATGACAGTACAATGATCTTGACATATCATGCATTTGAATCAGATGGGGTATAATTTCTCATTTTTCTGAGTGTACAGGTTGCAGAATCACATTGGTCATGCCTAAATGGACCATTAAGTTCTTAATATCTATATAAATGTGATTGAAATGATTCATTTAGTTCTTTTTAATAAAAGGCTTTATGTGAAACTTAAACTTGAGCAGTTAGTAATACTGTCTTGAAGAAAAGGTCATTCTAGATAACAGGTTGTTTGGGTCGCTGTTCAACATTGTAAGCACCAATTTTGAATGTATACCAGAGTAGTGGAGGAAGGACCCCCATGGAGTTTACAACCCTAAGACTCTTTCAAAAAGGACTTATGTAGTCCCATGCTTTAATACATTCAACAGGAATTTTTCCTGCCGATTTCAGCTGTTATTTTATAATATGAAATCTATGAACACATGCAGGGCATTTCACCTTTACCTAAAAGTACTACAGAAAAGTATATTTAAACACTGATGACAAAAAATAATGTAATTATTTTTCTTGAGGTATTATTTCGTAAGAAATATTTTTAAAATAGTAAAATCTTGTCTGTACAAAACATGATCTAATAAACATTTTTAATAATAGGTGGAATCCAAGTCAAAAATGAAAAGAATAGACCATCTTTGAAATCTCTGAAAACTGATAACAGAACAGAAAAATCCAAATATAAGCCACTTTGGGGAAAAGTGTTTTACCTTGACTTACCTTCTGTCACCATATCTGAAAAACTGCAAAAGGACATAAAGGACCTGGGAGGGGTAAGTGAAAATCAATCGTACACTAACAAGAAAATATTTATAGCTAGTACTTTCAAATATGTAATCATTTTAGTTTTTTATTTTGCAAAATTTATGACCACCTTATCAGCACCAAGTTTAAAATTTTTACAGAAAACCATTTGAGGACTAGAGATGTAGTTCAGTGGTTGCCTGAAAGCATCCCTGGGTTCAATCCCCAATATCAAAAAAAAAAAAAAGAAAGAAAGAAAAGTCATTTGTTCTGACCTTTTATAGCTTGACAAAACTTCAGGTTTCGGTGATTAATAGTCTTGTGTAAATTAAGTGTAAAAAATGAGACTGCCAGGTATGATAGCGCACACCTGTAATCCCAGCAACTTAAGAGGCTGAGGCAGGAGGATTACAAGTTTAAGGTTAGCCTCAGCAAGTTAGTGAGATCCTGTTTCAAAATAAAAAGGACTGGCAATATTGCTCAGTAGTAAAGCAGCCCTGGGTTCAATGACTGGTACCAAAAGAGAGAGAGAGAGAGATTCCCTTTTCCTATTGGAACTGTTTATTGCCTTCTATATATACTGTTATGTTGTCCTCCAAATAGCAGAAACTCTTTGATGATGATTATTGGGAGACCACATCGAGTTAAATCTTCTTTCCTACCTTATACATTGATTAGATGATTCCTACTGGATTTCAAGTTTCTAAAGGTCAGCACCTTTAAATATCTGAACTGTTCATTTCATTCTGAGACTAGAAGCTCAGAAAAACATTTAACAAGTTGCCTAGAACTATTTGTCAATGTTATTTTACTTAACCTGAAGGTCATGTAATAGACTTGCCACCATATTGACTACACACATCACCTATAAAGATTATCTTCACATGTTAAAGAACCTGAGTAAAGTCTCCATTTTAGAAATGAAGTATTTGAGATCCAGAAAAATTAGATGGCTGGCCCTACCAGAGTAATATTAACCTCTTACTTCCCAGAGTAACATAGTACTATAGTATTCTGTTCTTCTAGCAAACAATGGCTACAAAGTAGCTGTTTAATATAGTTTGACAGCTTTCTCAAATATGATAATCAATCCGTTCTATTAACCTGAGGTTTAATGGTCTAAATCAGTGAGGTTTGTTTTCTTAGCAGTAGAACCCTTCAGACAAAATCATATATAGCAATCTAATGTGGAAAGCCTGTAAAAATGGAACTCTCCCAAAATACAGTGTCTAGGGCAGGAACCACTTGCCCTGGCCTCTTTCTTTTCTCCACTGTCCCCACAACTGTTCCTGAGGTATTAGCAAGAAACAAAAATTTGAATTATTTCTGCCATACATTGAGGAACACTTTAAACTTTATGCTAACATGGTTTAAAATACATCAATGTGCATATTAAGGGCATAAGTTTCCAATTTCCCATCCTAAACTATAGATTTTTCAGTTGAATTTGCTTTATTAACTTCTTATTTATTTATTTATTTATTTTAAGATTTACTTATTGAATTCTGATCTCTCACACACACACACACACACACACACATACTGTCTTTCTTATGAAATTCAGTGATGTTCATTCCTTGGGTGCTGATTTCTGACTCTAGCACATTTCCTGTTTTGGTTACTAAAACAATATTGTCATAAAGCTGTCCTCTATGAACTATAAAAGAACCTCGATCTCTGGGTAATTTTAAAGAGTTTTAGGATTCAGTTTTATGAAATATTATGTTATATATTTCGCTAAGGATTGTACTTTATATTTTTAGTTTTATGTAGGTCTTTTATCCTTTATTGCTTATCTTGCTTTAAATATCATCCCTGATCCTGACTTTTTGTTTAATTGACCACTTTATATATTGGCTTTTTCTAGTGTTGGTAAATTCATGTTAATACCGCATTTATCTCCACAGAGTACTTTTGATAAATTCAGCCACTAAAAGCATAGCAGTAAATTCTGACGCAGTGGGGAAAAATATTTAATAGTGGTTAGAAAAGTAGTAGCTATAAAACCATCTCAGAAGGACATAGAACCAGTGACATTTGTAAACAGTTTAGGTTAAAAGAAGGCAGTTGGAGAAGAAACAGAAATGTAAGGGCAGATATTTTGCCATACATATCATGAGTTTGAGTACATAGTTAAATATTTGATATTCATTTTCATGACCTAGAGTTATCTGGAAATAAGTTTTGAGTTTATTCTTCAAAAGGCATAGATTAACAATTTCTAATAAGTTGAAGAATCATTGGATTGTGGCATGCAAGGCACAGCGTTGTGTGTTTTAGTACTTTAAAAAATGAACCCTGTGTCCATCAGCCAGCCTGTCTTAAAGTTCTAATCTAGATAGAGAAGGCATGGATACAGTTAATTGTAATACAACATAAAATATCAAAAGGAGGAGGAGATTACTTCCTGCTGAGGAATTGTGGAGCACATTGTACAGATACAATTTGAACTCTGTTGAAAAATGATTTAAGATTTAGGTAGGCATTTGAAAATTCAGAAATTTTTCCATCACTGTCTTCTATGTGCCAGGACTATTTTAGATTGTTGAGGGTATAAAAATAAGTAATGTGTAGTCCAGTCCTCTAAGAACTCAGTCTAGTAGGAACACCAGATAACTAAATAAAATAACTTATAGTAGAGCATTGTCAAAAAATATGTGGAAATTGTTATTAGAACACAGATAGGAATCATAGCATAGATAATGTTTGAGCTAGGTTTTGAAAACCTTGTAGGAATATACCAGTCAAAATGGACATACATATTAGAGGAAACAGCATATTTAAAATATGTGTCAGTATAGGGATTCTTTTATTTTTTATTTTTTGGTACAGGGATGAAACCCTGGGGTACTCAACCACTGAGCCACATCCCCAGCCCTTTTTTGTGTTTTTTTAATTTAGAGACAGGATCTCACTGAGTTATTTATGGCCTCGCTAAGTTGCTGGTGCTGCCTTTGAACGCACAATCCTCCTGTCTCAGCCTCCCAAGCTGCAGGGATTGTAGGTGTGCATCACTCACTATGCCCAGCCAGTGTGAGTTTGTTGTGTAACTGCTAATATTGCAATGTGACTTAAGCAACAAGATTTAGATCGGAGAAATGGCAAGAAATGAAGGTATATTAGTACCAGATTTTTAAGTGTGTTTTATTCTACCAAGGAGTTTTAACTCAAGTCTAAGAAATGGAAAAATAAACAAAATATGTGGCACTAGCATAAAAGATAGACATACAGACAAATGGAATAGAACAGAACTCAGAAATAAGCCCTTTCAGGGCTGGGGATATGGCTCAAGCAGTAGCGTGCTTGCCTGGCATGCCGGGTTCTATCCTCAGCACCACATACAAACAAAGATGTTGTGTCCGCCGAAAACTAAAAAATAAATAGTAAAAAAATTACAAAAAAAAAAGAAAGAAGCCCTTTTATGTTTATATATATGTAAGTATATATATATACACATATACACATACATATGTGTGTGTGTGTGTGTGTGTGTGTGTGTGTGTGTGTATAGTCAATTACCAAGACCATTCAGTGGGCAAAACTCGTTTTGGGAAAGGTGGATGGATATCCACATGTATAAAATGAAGTTGGACCATAACATATGTACAAAAATTAATTCTAATTAGATCTAAGATCTAAATATAAAGGTAAAATTTCTTCCTTTTTTCTTCCCAAAATTCATTCATTCATTCTTTTTTTCTTTCTTATTGTACCAGAGATTGAACTCAGGGGTGCTTAATCACTTAGCCACATCCCCAAACCTTTTTTTGAGATAGGATCTTGTTGAATTGCTTAGGGCTCACTAAGTTGCTAAGGGTGACTTTGAACTTGTAATCCTCCTTCCTCAGGCTACTAAGCCACTGGGATTATAAGCATGTGCAACCATGCCTGGCTAAAGGTAAAATTCTCAGAGGAAAATATAGAGGGAAATCTTTATAACATAGCATTTGGCAATGATTTCTTGGGTATGATGCCAAAATCATAAGCAACAAATGAAAAGGTAAATGTGACTTAGTCAAAATTAAGAACTCTTGTGGCTCAAAGGACACTATTATGAGAGTGAAAAGACAACCCATAGAATGGTAGGTAATGTTTGTAAATTATATATTTGATAACTGATTCATATTAATGATATATAAAGAACTTATATGGCTCAACAAAAGAAAGATAATCTAATTTAAAAATGGGCAAAAGCTGGATGTGGTGGTACATACTTTTAGTTCTATTACTTGGAGACTGCAGCAGGAGGATCACTTGAGACTACCAGTCTGAGACCAGCCTGGGCAGCGTACCAAGATTGCATTGTTTAAAAAAAAAAAAAGACCTAAGGAAACATTTCTTCAAAGAAGATATACTAATGGCTAATAAGTGCATGAAGAGATGTTCAACATCTATAAGCATTTCCCTTAATGCAAATCAAAACTATAATTAGTCATGCAATGAGTTTTATGGCTACTAAGAACCAGAAAATTGTATATGTTGTGAAGAATGGAACCTTTGTGCACTGTTGGTGGGAATGTTAAATGATGTGACCACTATGCAAGACAAAGACAGTATTCATGGTTTCTGGAAAAATTAGAAGTTTTCAACAATTCTATTTCTGAATGTATATCCAAAAGAATTGAAAGCAAAATGTCGAAATAATATTTGTATATCCATATTTAGACGAGCATTATTCACAACAGACAAAAAGTGGAAACAGCTCAAATGTTCAACAGGTAAATAAACAAAACATTGTATACACATAAAGTGTACTATTTAGCTATAAAAATAAACGAAATTCTGATACATGCTATAACATGAATGGACCCTAAAAACATTTTGGTAAGTGAAAGAAGCCAGTCACAAATACAGGATTCTACTTAAATGAGTATCTTAATCCACTTTCTACTGTTATAGCTGAATAACAAGAGTAATTTAAAGGACTGAGGTTTATTGGACTTCTAGTATTTAAGGTAGTAAAGTTCACAATTAGGCATCAGCATCCAGTGAAATCCTTGTTAGTGGGGACTATATACAGAACCTCAAATTGACAAAGGGCATCACATAGCAAAATTGATCTTCCTAACTCAGATCTTGTCTCTTATAAAGCCCCAGTCTCTTTGATTTAGGGCCTGGATTAGGACCTCATTCAACTTAATTTCTAAAGATTCTTCCTCCAAATACCAGTCAGAATAAATTTCACCCTCTTAAATACCCCACAATGGGAATTAAATTTCAAGATGACTTTTAATGAGGATGTTCAAATCACAATAGTGAAGCATCTAGAATTGCCAAATTCATATAGAGTAGAATAGATGTTACCAGGGGCTGTGGTGGTTGGGAAATAGGGTTATTATTGTAATGAGTATCAACTTTCAGTTTGGGAAGATGAAAAAATTCTGGAATTGATAATAGTGATGACTGTATACATTGTGGTTGTACTTATTGTCACTGAATTATACACAAAAAATGGTTGAAATCATAAAAAGAACCTCTGGCATTGCTACAGCCTCATATTTATGAAAATGAAGACAGTGTTGAACATATAAATTGTCATTTATATTTCTGCCTGGCCTTGAATGAATTTGAGTCGAATACCTGGAATATATAAGTTTAATAAAGTTTTTAATAAATTTTATTTATTAACTGGTCATTTAAAGTGAATATTGTGGAAAAAGGGTGGTTTGATTTTTAATGAGCAGTGATTTATTTCTGATTAGTATTTAGTGTTTTTCTGTAACATTTGTGTATTTATACAATATATATTTTAATAATACTCTTAATATTATTCTACTTAGTATTTAATTCTACTTAATCTAGTGTTTTATTTCTGCCCCTAGAGGCAGGTGCTGTTCAATAATATTGACTTTGGTGCATGTTTATAAATTTAGGCATTTAAGCATTTGTTTTCAAATATTTTAGTGGGGAAATTCAGTCTTATGCTGATGAGGGTAAATGTTTCCTCCACCTTATAAATTTAAACCTTTGGGGATATAACTTCATGATTCAGAGTCATGCTGTATAATACAATAACCATATATGTGTCTATTTAAATTCATTAAAATTAAATAAAATTTAAAATTCAATGGCTTGGACATAATAACTATATTTCAAGTCCTTATGGCTACATGTGGCAACTTGTTACCATATTAGATATGCAAGGAGCATTTCTCCATCATTACCAAAAGTTCTGCATGCCTGCTGCTTATATTGAATCAGAACACTTATATTCAAATTCTTTTATTTACTACTGGTGTGACCTCAAGCAAGTCACTTCAATTGTCTCCTGAAAAATGTGGATAATATTAATACTATGGGGTTGTTACATGGATTACATTGATTAGGGTAAAATACTTGCTGTTGTGCTTTTTAGAACTCTCATTATATTTCCATAGAACTCCAGATTGAGGAAAATATAGACTTGAAAACACCAATTTGCAAGATATTAAGTTACATCAATTGAAATTTTATATTGTGCCTAGTGTGTGAAACAAGTATGATTTTTATTACATAAAAATACTTTGTTTTCCTCTAGCGAGTTGAAGAATTTCTCAGCAAAGATATCAGTTATCTCATTTCAAATAAAAAGGAAGCAAAATTTGCACAAACATTGGGTCGAATTTCTCCTGTACCAAGTCCAGAATCTGCATATACTGCAGAAACCACTTCACCTCATCCCAGCCATGATGGAAGTTCATTTAAATCTCCAGATTCAGTAAGTCTCTTTAAATGATGGAAGTTCATTTAAATCTCCAGATAGATTAAGTCCTTTTAAGACTCTCAGGCTGTAGCCTGAACATCTCATGATTTTCAGTAGCATGCTGGCAGCAGAGTTCACTTGGGTAGAAAAGTTATTGTGGCTTTCTAGTTATTAATAAGGTTGCTGTCTTTTAGAAAGGTGATTTTTTTTTTTCTTAATAGTATAGTGTAGTCATACCCTGTTGCCTAAAATGTGCCCTTGTACTTGAAGATGGGTTTTATTTTTTAGAGTAATTGACAATTTAAAAATAATAGCAAATTATTCCTTTAAAGCAGAACTAGAAACCTTTTTTTTAATTTTAGACCAGGGGTAAGCAAACAGACCAAATTCAGCCTGCTGCCTGTTTTTTAAAACTAAGCATGGTTTTTAAATTTCCAAATGGTTGGTAGAAAAAAATGAAACAGTATTTTGTAACAAGTAGAAATTATATGAAATTCAGATTTCTTTGCTTGAAAAGTGTAATTAGAACATAGCAGTACTTGTTAGTGTAGGTATTACTTGTGGATGCTTTTGTCTTTAGGCAGAATTCAGTCATAGTAATAGAGACCATATGACCTAGAGAGCCCTTTGCATAGAGAGGTTACCACCCCCTTATACAATTATTGATAGATATCTAACACTTCGTTAATAAGTTGGAAGATACAAGTAAGGACAAATTTATTTAATTGGTTGTGGGGAGGTAAGAGATTGAAAGAAAAAATTCATTTATTGAAAGAAAGACTTCATTTATTCTCGATTTTAGATTGAAATGAACTAAATTGTGATTTTTAAATATATTCCTTTGTTTACTGTAGTTATTTGGGAAGCAGAAATGGAAAAAAAAGGTATAAAAAAAGAATTACAAGGGAAAATCGCTTGAAAAAGAAACATATGGAAGGAAAAATAGTCAAAGAAGTGAAAAGAGATAAAGAAGGCTTATGCATTTTTTCAATTAATACTTTTTTGAAGCAAGGAGATAATACTAATGTTTGATTCCCAATTAATTTTGCTCATCATATTTCAACTACTTTTCTTGATATTTTATTTAAAAAAGAATATAACTTATAAATATAGTATATAAAGTTTGTATTTTTTTT